TATATTAGCTCACAGCCAATGGCCAGCAAGAGGTTCCACGCAACTGCATTCCAGTTCACCGCCCCCCGACTTAATGTGGCTCGTCGCCTATATTTCACGCCTCCTGCTCCCGTATTCGATCTTCGTGCTCGACACTACACTGACAACCACATCCTGACACTGGATGGCAGCCTCATCTCGTTCTAGCCAGTATCTCCATGATCATTTCAATGAACGAGCGGAACGAGTCAACAACCTCCAAGCGGAGGTGAACCGGCTTCAAGACGAAAACAAGATCCTTCACATCAAGCTCGCAGAGGAGAAGATTAAAACACAGGGACTTATTGCTGTTTGCAAAAATGATGGCACTCCGAGAAAAAGAAAAAGTTGGAGAGATCGGAGGGGCTAGACTTTGGATCCTCGGGCATGGGATCGCCCGAGAGTTCAGAATCACAGGGACACGCGTCGCTATTTCGTCTCATGGACCGCACCGTCGATGTCGTCGTCGACAACGGCTCTGGTAAACCCAATAGCTATACCTGTCCCTCTTTCGCATATCCTTTACCATGGTTTACCAACGGCACTCTGATGATGCCAAGATGATCTCTGTGCGTCTTCGGAGGCGTGGTCGCGATACTGTCGACGAGATCGCCCACCTAACTTCCATATCTCGTCGTACTCTTTTTCGCACCTGGAAACGGTACCGACAGAAGGGCACAGTCTCCAAGGATGAAGCCATCGGTCGTGGCCGACCTTCAAAGACTCTCCACCACGACCGCCAGCTCCTTCTTGAACTTGCTCGCACTAAACCGAATCTTTTTCTCGACGAGTATTGCAAGCGCCTTCGCGACCATCGGTACCTCTCAGTACACATCTCCACCATTCATCGGTACTTCGCGAAGGCTGACCTGAGTGTCAAGAGGGTCCAAAAGCTTGCACGAGAGCGAGACCCTATCAAGCGTGCTGACTTCATTCGCCGCGCCGGCCGGTACTCTCCAGCGTGCTTCGTATTCCTCGATGAGGTATCAAAGAACGACAGAACATATGCGAGGCTATGGGGTCGAGCAGAGAGAGGGGAAAGAGTTGAGTGTTATGAACCTTTTGTGCGTGGAGAGCGGGTGTCGATGTTAGCGGCAATGGCTCTGGATGAGGGAATCACAGCTGCGAAGGTAGTGTACGGGTCTTTCAATGCGGCGTTGTTCATAGACTTCCTTCGAAGAGACCTGGTACGTTTTGTCACGCATATAGTCAGCTGTCATGTATGGTACTCATATTCTTCGAGCTTATTGTAATGGACAACGCACGTATCCACAAGTCTCCCGAGGTCCAAGAGCTCATTGAGAGCTGGGGTGCGTCCATATCTTGTCTGGTCTTTCCCTGTCACCTCATTGTGCTGTCAGGCTGCCGGATAGAGTACCTGTCACCATATTCTCCTGTATTA